CGGAGCCTCCTTATCCTAAACACATCTCCAACCGTCATTCTGTGGTAATGCGACGCTAAAATAACGGGTCCATTAGAAACTGTATTCAAGGCACCTTTATCTTGGAAATGGGCAAATGCCGGAGCAATATCGTTACTATCTGACGCAAAACAATGGGAACACGTAGACACCCCCTCTCTTTAATGAACACGAGAAAACGCTGTTACAACACGCCTAGTTTGTTTTAACGTTTGAGAGATGTTCTTCTAAAGCCGTTTAGATTGCTTCCTTTGCTGCTGCCTGTATACAACATTACTGCTACAGTTTTAAAGTAAAGCTTTCGTTTGCAAAGCTTCGCAATAGCTACGTTATAAAAAATCAAAGAGGCTTGTGAAAATGGTCATTACTTTACCGACACAAATTGTTAAATATAGAACATTGAGTAGCTTAAAGTTGTCATTACACCTTAAATATGGTTTATGAAACTGGGTATAATTAAAGGCTTTCATTCTTAATTTAAAATAACTTACCAGCTATCGAATGTCTGATTAGATTTTGGAATTTATTGACTGACAATGACAGATGAGTGATTGTTCTATTGTTCTTCCTTGTCTTCCCTTTGTTTCGAAGCTGACTTCAGTTTCACTTCAATTATAAATTAATTTACTCAAAGTATGATACTCGATCTTAAACGTGAACTAACAATATGTTTACTTTGAGTTGTGCTACATATTTTATGCCAAAACACATTCAAGCCTTTTCTAATATCAATTTTAATAATCAAAACTACACGAAGCGCAAAGACTCTTTTGAATTGGACAACTCTCCCTTTTATATCTGGATGTTTATTATAATTCAATTCCCGATCTTAACATACGCATATTTGACGGATGGCTTACTACATTTTTAAATGTATTTAACCGTCCGGGGTACAATACGTTTCCCCTATATTTTAACTTCACTGGTGTGTAACGTTTCCAGTGCGCTTATCTTTTATCATATTTGAGAGAGATAAAACTATTCAACTTTAGTGCTGACACGTGTTCTAGATTTTTATATACTTTCGTCTATATGTTTCATGCATACATACATTGACCGTACGTTTTATTAGATTGCTATAATACTACTGAGAAAGAAATGTTGATTCATTTTTACTGCCTCGTATTTTAAGTATTTGACGAAAATTTAAAAGTAAACTCCTTTTTCATCACTTGAACATCTTCAGCAAAAATGTTTTCTATTTTCTTTCTTAGCTCAAGTTATGTAACATAAATGTGTGTGTTCATATTAGAGTTACATGTACACTTTAAATGTTTAGTTAATATTTATATAGACTTCAGGAAATGAGATTAGTACTACTTCTTTACAAGGTAATAAGCAATGTAAGAAATACATACGTACACATATATTAAACGGCGTTCACCATATTACTCTAAATATAATTTACCACTGTGTCATGTTTTTCTACAGTCACCTCAACACATATTGAGCACAATGCTTACTAGTCAATAGAACCTCATTTCAGTGTCAATAGTAAACTGCGAGCGGGTCGCATAAGTAACACTTAGTGTGAACACGAACCGCATCGAAGCAATTTACTTCCCATCACAAACCAATCATCGGTCGCCGTCGCCATTGCAACATTGCACGTACGAAATTCGGAAGTTTAAATTTGGAATGTGTCGGTTCGTAATGTTAAAGAAATTGACTATTTATATTTTTAATTAAGAAAACATCGACTTTTTTTTTCAATGTGAATAAATTTTTCTTATAAACTATATCAATTGCTCAACTCTTTTATTTTTGAGTCTTATAAAAAAACAAAATTTGTTATAAGACTTTTTAAATAGCAAAACATAAGAAATACTCTACTGCTCATCCCATAAACAAATATTTTACAGTAAAAGAAAAGGTTAAAGTAATGAACACGCTTTATATGAGTAATACATACTAAAAAATATAAAGCAATTTGCAAAAATACATATCATAAGTATGATATGATAAATTACGCCATTAAGAATATTTATGTAAACCAATTTCATATCTTGGAAAATTTATTGCTATCATGAAATAAGATACCATTCCAATTAATTGATTCACAGAAATATCAGAATCTAACATTAAATGTTAACGAGAGTACATTTGTTTTTAAAACGCAGTAAATTATATTTCATTATATCCAAGATTTAATAAGTTTCATTTAAAATATATCAACGATTTTCATGAAATATTCCGGTATGGTCTAAAATCATTACTTTCGAGCTCTTTGATACGGTTACCATTGATCAATCTCGTTTTTTTATAGGACATTTGAAACAAATATTTAAATTTCAGGACTTGAAGGGCTAGTAGAGATCTCTTCGTCTCTAGCAGACTTACGCAGAAACAGTTATCTGCTACTTTATTCTCCTCTTATTTTTAATTTCTTCTGTCTTTTCTACCAACAGTAATCACACTCGAGGATATTTGCTGATTGACAATAGGATTCTTCTCCAAACAGAATATATAAGAGTTTTCTCCAGCGAAATCCAGCAATAAAGATTCATGGATACTACTAGTAGTAGTTAGGATACTAGATCCTTACCTTATTATATAACACCAATGACATATAATTGAAAGCATTATATATGGACATTACTGCAATTCAAAATGGCGTAAAATTAAAGTTCATACAATCAAATTATCTGTGCGCGAAGAAAGAGTGAAAAGCATGAGAATCATACGGCATCTGTGGATAATATGTTGGAATATTACGTTTTAGTGGAAAATAAGGTAATAACCCATAACCAATAGAAACAATAATATTAGTGACACATGAAATAGGAATATATATTATGCGGCCAGACGGAAACCTTACAATATCTGTTACACAGACAAGTAGACGAGCTTTAAAAACAATAGATAGGTACAATCACCAATACATCAGGTCATACGAAATTTAAAATCGGTTGATGTTTCTCCATTCGATTTTCAACTTAAATAGGTTGACAGTTGAGGTTAAAATTGCTCGAGAAACTTTTCATTTCGTGTAGTTTGATGTGTTACTGTATGTACAATACGTGGGCGTGTAATGATTTACCTAATTACATCAAGTTTTTTAACGATTTCAATATTCCGTTTCAGTACGATCGACACTGTTGCATTAGCAATAATTCACATAACAAAGGCAAATAATTATTATAGTAATTTTTAATTGCTTTGTATTTACAGAACGGATGTTCTCTAGTAATTCAATTCCACATCAGGAGAGAAAATATTGTAATGCCATTTCCTGTTTATTATAATTGCGTTTCTCATTTTCATTATATTTAGATACCTTTGAATAGGATTCATATTTAAAAGTTGAAAATCATTACTGCTAACGGTCCGTGAAAATAATTTACATTTATTTTATTCTATTTAGCCGACAACAGACATTTATCAAAATTTCCAACAGAATATATTATAAAGAGGGCAGATCACTTATTATTTGTTTACGTCGAATAAGCTACGTAAATAAAGGACCGATTTCAAATATTTTTAATACCATTAATATCCTACATTATCCCTAATATATATTAGTAAAATATTGGTGGGACAGGCCGCTATTTTTATTATAAAAATAATTACATATTTAATTTAAAAATTCTGTAAATTAAAACATACGATATTAACGAAGTCTCGACAAGAGATATAGAAAATATTTGTGATAATTTCATAAAAATCTGTAATAAAAATAATCATTGTTATTCTTGCCGTAACTTCCACTAAATATTGTCCATTTATAAATCATAATAATGTTTAAGTTATTTTGATGGAAAGTCCTCGATTTGATGTAGGTACACAGTTTCGACATTCGAGCGATGTAAGTAAACATGGCACACGCGATGTCAGATTAATTTGATCAAAGTGAAAATGGTTCAGCGTTTTCCACGCTACTTGTTTCGAGTTTCTGTCGACGGTTCGGCTAATGCTTCCGCCGGCTTCCAATTTTAAACTTTTGATGGTGTTTAGTACGATTTATGTGCCAGGCGATGTTACAGCATCGACGTCGTTCCACTAAATGATCGAGCGACACCTGGAACTCGTTCCCTAATCACCCAAGTTTCCCTGTAAAGCATAATCGAAGTTTTATATCTACAAAGTTTTTGTCAGAATATCGGTCAAGTTGCGACGAATAAGTTTGTAATATTAAAATTTTGGCCGAACCCTTTGGACACATTTATTTAAAAGTTTTACGTTCTTGTTTTGAAATTAATGGGAAAATGTCGTAATTATTGAAGATTTACAAAATTTTGTTTTTTAATATTTTATTCTGATTTAAACTTCCGAAATAAAAGACATTAGCCGTTTGCTTTGTTGAACTATTCAAAATGAATTTGGCGAATTTCCGTTCAATCACATTTTTATAGCACCAATAGGTCTACCACGAAACGATTTACTGGTACAGTTATTGTGAAAAGTAACAATGATGGGATCCCACGGTTCGAGTTCAATGTTCTAGGCTCCCGTCATGGTGTCTTGCATTTGGTTGTACTTTAATTTCATCCCGTTCGGTCATATCAGTGCTTAGAAATAACAGAAAATAAATTAATGATTTCAATCCATGGTAAATGCTCGACTTTTAGTGGATCGAATTTCTTTACCAGTATAATTAATTATGGCCTACAATCAAAAGAAACTTCGCAAAGGTAATTTTAAAGTAATATTACTTAAGTTGATTGTAATACTGCATAAGTTTTATCGAAGCTTCAGAACTTTTTATTATTATTGTGATACTACCATCTCAACTTTATCGGTCTTAATTTTTATTTATTTAATACACATTCGCGAAAACAACAACCCGTCTAATTCAGTAATGAAATTTATCCCTGAGATACTTCACAATTTTATTAAAAACAAAAATTAAGATAAATACTAAAAACAAAGATACTGTTTCCTTTTAAAAATATTCCTAATGGATAACAAATTTAGTGCGGATAGAAAAGATCGTTATAGATTTCACTACTTGTTTATTTTAAAATATCTCATTTTTATTTCAGGTGCCTCGGACTGATAACCGTCGGACGGTATCGGTTGGAGCGACAGGGGGCGTGGGAGAGCGGCATTCGTATGCTGAAGGCCGAGTCCCTGCGCCCCACGGGCCACCGCCATCACCGGGAGCAGTAGCAGCGCAAAGACGGGTAGCGGCGGCTTGTCAGGCTAGTCGCAAGCTTCTGGAAGAGACGCTCGCTAAATCTGGTAAAAATGATTATATTATAATAACTGGTGGTAGCCTTATCATTTGAATTCCACTTTAAAATTTGAACAGTATGAAGGTTTTGCTATCATAGATTTTTTGTTGATATATTAGAAAGATAAATACGAAACTAGATGCCTATTTCTATTGAATTAAAATAGAATTTAACTTATTAAATACAGCAGGATTTGGCTGATTAATATTATTAGAATTAAAAACACAAAAAAAAAGTACATAAAATATAGACAAAAAGTATAAAACTTTTTTAATAAATTAGCCTATTATTAAGTTTACCTGCGAACTCAAGTTTTTGGAATGTAGCCAAGCTTATCTGATTTAAAAGCATGAAAGATTTCCTGACTATTTAAATGAGACGATATTTTAGAAAACTCAGAAGTCAAATATTGTTAAAGATTTATTCTGAGTAAAGAATCATCAAAAGCCATGATGCTATTACAGCGCTCATTTTCATTTTTAAGGCTTGCCATTAACATTTTTGTTGATAATAAAAAGAAATATAATGCTCATAAGTGGATTCTTAACTCGACTAAAATATAATTAAAGGTGACCTTAAAGTGCCTCCAAGAAATTATTCTCATTGCAGGGGTGTTAAGCTTATTTAGGTAATTTCTGCAAAGTGTTTTGTTTGTATAACAAACGCTAAAATAAATATTTATGAATTATATCGTGTAAAATACCTGATAATTAGACAAATGCTAACTTCCATATTAACTTTCATAAAAAATATGCATACACGCTGAACATAGAAAGAATTAATGCAAAAAACGCAATCTTTTTTTTGGTTGATATATTAAACCTGTTGTCAATTCGAATTTATATAAAACTTAATTTATAACTGAAATCATTAAACCAAACGATAACGCAGTTTAGTTTATAATAAACGTCATTTAATAAAGCAAAGCTTGAAGTTCTACATTATTATCATCGCAATGACATTGAATCAAATCAAAAAAGGAGAATGGGCCATGTCACGGGTACACAGGTTCAATGCGGATCGGTGGGTGTTAACGACTGCAGACGAAGCTGAGACCAACGGCTTAGCTACCTTCCGAAGCTCGGGGTAGTAAATTTTTGGTCACCCATCCTATAACCGACTCTTGTGAAAGGTGCTTAATGCGCTAACCACTGTGCCATCGAACTTTTGCTACATTTTAGATAGTTCTTATTACGTTTTATTTAAAAACTCAAGCTTAACCAAAACAGTGCGATGTAGAATATACCTACTTAACGCCATCTAGTGTAGCTCCAAATAATATAAAAATTTAATATTTTCAAAGACATAATACCTAGAATGTATTTTTTGTTATAAATTATGTGCTCAAATACTAATTTTCATCTCTCATCACTATATAAGGAAATCTTTATGAATAGTATTTGATAGATTTATTATAATGACAAATGGAACAGTAAACAATGGTTGCCATAGTAACATTTTGATTCCTCATAAAACTTCCACTGCCATTTTCATCCCTTTATGTGCTGGTTTTAGACCTAGTTTTAGACCTTTCCAGTGTCTAAAACTACTCAAATACAAATTTTAATTGATGTAATGTCTAAAAGTAATGTATATATTTTAATACAAAAGTTTTAGCCTTTTGGACCCCCATCGGGGTGATATTTCCAAAAATACGTTATTAGTACACCTCTACGTAATAAGAGGAATGTCCTCTCCAAATTTCAAGTCTCTACGACCAGCGGTTTAGGTTGTGTGTTGTCTGCGAGTCAGTATGTCAGGACATCACCTTTTATAGGCATATGTATAGTATATTATAACATTATTATTATGTATAGATTAATTAACGATATATATAAAACTGTTGTTTATACCTATTGGCTAAAATATAGATAGTACCGATACCTTCTTAGCGTAGCGTATTGTTTTGATTATTTAGGTATAATGCAAAATTTCAGAATATCAAGGCGTTTGTTTTATATTTTTAAATTAGCCGGTGGGAAATTGCAAAACAATAAGCTGTGGTAAAAAAAACAGTTTTAATGACTGATTAGGTAATATTATAGTATCAGATGAACGTGGTTGGCGTTGATAAGAATCTGAAATGTTTCGTCAGTTTTTTTATTAACGAAATGTTAAGGACAAGCTCTACATCTCTCGTAACGACTTTGGTTGATGAAAATGTGAGTTATCTGAAAGTAAAAAGTGGACAGTAACTGAGTCGAGTCTTTTATGTTCAGCAATAGCTTTCGTCATTGTTAGTAACACGGAGAAAGTAATGGAAATGTTGAGAACACAAGTGTGAAAGTGTGCTTTAGTTTAATTCAATTTGTCTGTGAACAACGAGTGCAGTACTGATTACTGATATCGTTTAGGAAAAATTCTCTTTTAGTTGTAAACCTAATAATCCCTGTATATTACCAGGTGCTACATGAAACATTTTTAGTATTTTCTGACACAACAATTTCTTTATTTTAATGATTTTGCCAATATCTAAAATCAATATTCCATATTGCAATATAATCTACTCATATTCGTGATTTTTGGGCAAACACGTTTCTGCAATGAATAACAATTTTATTGCCAGGAAAGGGATCAAATCCATTCCCATTTTCATTGATGGCATGCATTAAATATTAACCCAAACATTTACTAAACATAGCTTGATCGAGAACTATATATCTAAAGCTTTTTATGTTTGATTTTGCATTCACAATACTATACTGAAAAATATTCTCAATAAAAAATGCTTCAAAATCCACTTCATCCAAGGCACTCTAAGATGGGACTCGAATTCATTACCTTTCGCAATCCGTGCGACTGCTACATCTAAAGCTTTTCGAACCGTTTAGAATTATGCCGCGATTTCGTCTATGTAAGCGTATTGTATTTTAACAGACTATTTTGTATAAATATTAGGCAGATACCTTGTATTATTAATTCGCTTCAAAGTGTTTTCTTCCATATCCGTAACATTTAGTATTATCTAATATTTTCCCATACCTAAACTGCACAGCAATTTTATCTAGAAGTAATATTATGCGTAATATTATGTATTGAAGATTATTACGGCTGTAAAGAATATATAGTCTGTAGATATTGTTAATGTCAGTAAATATTGTTAATTTATCTCGGATACTTTTGGGCTTTATTTAGAGATACTCGGAGACTCAATTTGCCGGTTTCCGGGGCTTATCCTCAAGCTAGAGAGTATACTGTGGGGTTTTAGTGAGTATACCCAAGAGAGTCTATCGGGAAATTTGTCTGCTAGTTGGGCTCACACAACCTTTGTCGCTCGGCAGGCGACAGGGATGGTGCGTAACGAATTTTCCGGGTTAAAAACCTTTGGATTTCGTTATGGTTAAATGTCATCCTCGAACCCTCGTGGTTTAATTCTAATACTCTAAATACAATTCATCGATATACCAATAAATGACCATGGTGGTTTTATGAAAAACCAGTTTTAGTAACATAACCGAGCAATATAATAAAAACTAGCAACTTCAGTTCAACAGATATAAAACGAAACGTGTAATTTATTTCATGTAATCAGTTCTGTCGGACAAGTTTTCTATCATAGGCGCCCGTCATTAAAGTGCATTGCGACATTCTTGATCTGTGTCATAGAACAATGCGTCAATCCTTTCACCTAAGGGCTTACCATACTCGCCCACACGATTCGTGAGCGATTGTTATCATATTGATGGCGTGTCGATTATTAGGGCAGCCATGAATCGAATTTATAATACGAATCATAAATTGCACCCTTTATCGATTGAGCAGTAAGAGATAAAATCGCTATCCTAATATTTTCTTATTACGACGAGGACAAAGGAGGGTGTAGTCAGTCGCAAAAACGCAGTTTTATGGGTTTCCTTTCTCGGTTCTTAGATAGTAAATGGTTTACTACAAATTAGAAGTGATTCGTTTCCACTCCATTGACAAATAGCTAACGATACTGCAGAAGAATAGCAAATCTATATAATTTTTAACTTTAATTCATATTCAAATTATCATAAAATATTTTAGTATACTTGGATTATGAAATTATTACAGAATAATGTGACTTCTTTGTTGTCGGTTTTTAAGTGTTGCCATATTTATAGTCCTGGGTTTAAATCTTGATCGGGATACGGAGATAATTTTCTGCATTATTTTGCGTGTGGGTACTTTACTTTTACTTTAGTAATAGATTCACTTGTCTGATTTGGGGAATATAAGGGAATTAGCTCTTAGTTTTTCAATCTGCACAATGATTTCGTTTAAAATTTGTTTATTTATTTTTCATTGTGAAATTCAATGTTTATAGTACAAGCGCAATTCAAAAAGTAGTGTGTATAAATGTAATTAGATGTTTATCTAAATTCATTTCCTCCACTCCTAGAGAGGGTAATTTCTAAGAAAAGTTCCTACGCTAGTTAACTGATTAAAGCATTAATTAAATTAAATATACTCACCAGGTCCATATCTTGGGAAATCGAGAGTCGTGATTTTCTCAGAGAATAGGAAATGTTGGATTAACTAAGACCTTTGACAAAGTTTCAGAATGTTAATGGAATTGGCAGTTGAGAATAAGTAATAAATGAATATTGGATACCACATTTTTTGTGCTAAGTTAATTAACTAAAGCAAGCGTGGAAATGAAATACAACAAGGACTCGAGACGGTGTAGGAATGTTTATTTTCTAAGCTGATTTAATCAGAACAGATTCTGGGACCTAGATGAGTAGAGTTCGTATGATGTACAAGATAAAAAACATTCTTTCATTCTTCTATTACAACGATGTGTAAATATATATGGATAAAACTCATAAAAAATACGCCAATTAACTCTTTCTACTTGCATATAAAATAACGATGAAAGTAATTATATTCGACTTTAATTAACACTTGCGTGATTTATAATATTTTTCTGTAGGTGCTAATAATGATTCTTACGTTAGAGAGTTTCTCCAAATTCTGGGTCTGTGCTCTTAAAATTGATAATTGGTATAGCATGACCTGTTTCATCAACTATTCTACTTTAAATTTTGTAATTTTAATGCCGTAGACTAGCAAAGATCAAGATTAAGTTCATGATATATCTAAATTTTCTAAGATTACGAACAATTTTCTGGAAAATCTCACATTCATTGCTTAGTTCTAAATTGAGTAGCAAAGCACTTATTTCATAGAAATCTGAAACAAAAAAGTACCATAACACCTAAAACCGATACTATAAAGGAAATTACTTTTTCTATAATAAATCTACCGGGAATCGGGATATCAGAAAGCAGTCACCTTGAAACCGGCTTAGGAGCCTGGAGGAAATATGTTAAATTAATTGTGATGTTGTTGTTCCTAGCATTGACACTATTTTTAAGACACAAATTCTAAGAAATTCATCATAAATTAGCTTTTGATGTCGTTAGATACTTCACGTTGTAACGTCTCAAAATCTCGACATATTAAAGTTAGTATATCTCGAATACTCCGAAGTTGGTGTTCCCATTTCGAAACACAATTAGTTTATTCAACAATAGACGTATGATCCAGAATACATTCGTCGTAACTAAGTTTGAGAATGAAATTATACAATAAGAACTGTACGAGTAGGTACTTCTCCTGTGTTGTAATTTAAGATTATGTAAATGATTTTGCATTTGCATATTGTTACGTCAATAATTTGACACAAGGTTAGTATCTTTGATAGCGATTAAAGACTTTCTTAATATTTTATGACGTGAAACTCTATCATCGGTATAACATAACCTATTGTTAAAATTTTGTTTATGTTTGAAAGACCCATGGCGCAATCGCCGTAGAAAATTCACCGTGGTCTTTTTGAGTCTAATCAACTAACAAAGCTTGTAGTAACAAGCTAAGAATAATTTTCTCCAATACTTTACATTTATTTTGAGCTTAAATTAATTTGTTGTTCCAATTTCATATACTTAACCTTAAAATTAGATTCATTATTATTCCTTCCTCACAATAAGCAGACCACATTGTTCTCTTTAAAAAAAAAACTTGTGTACTTTGTGTAGTAACTTTGCATATAGCGAATGCTGTTGTGGTCGCTTTATGAGCTGGACAATGCCGTCCCATAGGATAAGACTAGGGTGTACCATAATTTATTTCGTTTTAAGGACTTATGTTACTTAATATTTTCCACTTTATCAAATCAATCCAAGAAATTAACTTATTAACTTTTAAAGCAAATAAGAAAAACAATTTCAAAATCATAACAACTGTTACTTCAAAACAATTTAAGTTTATTAAAAATGCAGCGTCAGAAATATTATATACTAACACCACATTTACAGTCATATAGCCTTCGATTATACAACTAAAAACATTGTATCTATGAAATATAAGAGTGAGAAAAATTCCCTATTGACAACATATTATGGCAACCAGAGTCCAAGCGCCATATTGAAAAGCTGGATAAAAACTCTACGGACAAAAGGTGATTCGGACGAGGATGTTCAATGTTTGTTATTAGATACTACTCTTAACTATTCCGGATATTTTGCGATTACACAATTATTAGAAAATATATTTAAACAATGCCTAGGTTTCTTCATCAAAGGAGTAGTTTATAAATACTTTTTATTCAGAAAGAACAGATAAACATAAGTTCGTTTCAAGCTTCCTTTAATTTTGAAAGAGAAATAGTTAATGGTTACTTAAGACATTTTCAAATAAAAACAATTAAGACATGAGAAAGTGACGCCTAAGTAAGAAAATTTTCAACAATATGAAATAAATATAAAAAACAATATAAGTATATATTTAGGAAACACAACAAATGTCATTTAAACATATTATGTAAGTAATATTGTACAATTTTGTTTTTTCAATGTCCAATTACTGCTTAAATGTTATGAAAAGGTTAGGAGCTATTACTTTTATTTGAATATATATATATATTTTAATTTAATCAAAATCTAAACTGAATGATTTACACATACTTGTATTACTATTATGAAGTTTTCTAACTTTATTTGTTTATGCGGGCGATGTTGCGGGACAAAAGCGAATATCTAATCAGCGTTAAAAAACCATAAGAAATGAATATCAATATTGTCTTTGATAAAAAAAGTATATTAATCAATTAAAAACGTAAACATATATTAACCAAAAAAATATATCTAAATACTTAATTGATTCCTACGATTTGTTGCAAATTTGTTTTAACACACACACTACGACCTTGGTACACGTAGTTACTCGTTTATTTCGGAGGCCTCTTCAATAGAAGAAACAAAAGTTGTATTCGGTAAATCAGTGATGGCGCTCGTGACTTCCTCACTTCGCGTTATTTTATTTTGGGCGCAAAAAAGGGTATATTTCATCATCTTTCGTCATGACTTCACGACAATTGTGTATCACTTTAGTGATTTAGAATGGGTGGCCGTTGTGAACGTTCTGTCACGTTCGAAACGACTGTCAAATCGTGATATATATTTACAGCACTTATATTTTGTTGATTGCCTTTACCAGAGCAACATTAGGGGTTCGCTTTAAGTTTGAGTGAAATATATTTACTGTAAAAGTTAACGGAAACAGTTTTTATACCGTATGTACTAATATATAAAAATTCAAAAAAAAAAATATATATATATTTTCTTAATAAGTGCACTACCAAAATCTTTTTTTATTGTTGCTATTACACTTATGGGTCAGAATCAGAGGTGAGTATTTTAGGTTTTCAAATATAAAAGAAATAAGTTTCTTTTTAAAGAAAACTGACTAGAGGAATCTGTTATACGATTCGACTTGAATCTTTTCTGAGAAGAGGCACCCACAAAATTGTATATTTTTGATATTCCACCTGTTAATAAGAATAATGTCTGAGCCAGAAGTCATTACGGGAACACTATTGAATTTTTCTTTAATAAAAATATAACTAACGTATTTAAAAATAACCTTTGATAAATTATGATAAACTTATTCCTTGATCGAAATATGTTGTTATTAAATACTTGTTTTTCAAATCACTCTCCATAAATTATTGAATTGGTGTAAATTCTACTCCAAATTTTCTATTTAATGTTATTCTTGCATTACATGGTATATTAATAATATAAATATAACTAATTAAAGATTGGTGATTTACTTTCCGTTTTTTGATGTTCCCAGAAATGATGGGGGTGTTCCCAAAATGACAGTGAAGTTTCCTAATGAGCACAACACCGGTTTTTAACAGACTTTGTGTATTAATGTAATATATATTTACAGTCGTAATCACTTTATTTGTACCTAAGGAATGAGGAAAATGAGTATCAAAACTTAAACTAAAAACCTAATAATAATGAACTTTGTAGTTTCAACCAACAACATTAGATATCTAGGAAGAAATGTTAATTTCTCACTGACATTTAAATTTCTTGCAAATCAATGCTTAAAATTTTATAGTTTCAACATTTGCAATTATCTTCATTTTTCTGTCATAATTTTGAGAATTTATTTTTCACAAAGTTCAGTTTCTTTTTCAGAATCTCAGTCATACAAATTTATCTTTTCTTTATTTTTATCCTTCATCGGATATATTTCCTATTTTCAATCTCTTCATCTCTTTTAGTTTTCAGGTGTCTTTTATTTAAAAACTGTCCTGTTTATTAGTTTTCGATTTCCTATTCTCTTGATTTTTATCGTTTCCCATGTTATTTGTACTTAGTCTTACCTTAAACCAAAATTTGGCATGGTTATGCTTTTTAGAATCATTATTGTGCAATTTGTTCTTTCAATATCCCGAAACGACCGTTCCCGGAATCATTATTCAATCAATGTTTTCATGTCACCTTTGACGCCGCCATATTAGTTATTGTTTTTAGAGGTTATAAACAAGTAAGCCGTAATATGTATTAGAATTATTGAAAAACGAATCCAGAGAGCGTTTCCGTATTGATAGAAAAATAAAGTACGTTTCACAGATCAAACTAAACGGTACTTACCAATAAAACCAATCATTTTTTTCCGTAAATACGACACACGCCGCTTTCTTTTTGAACGGGCAAACTTCACACACCCTAAAGCCACCTAGGGTACGTTGATTTAATTATATCGAACAATATCTACTGCGTTCACAAAATGATTTGATAATGTCGGACAGCAAAAGCCAAAATATGAATTTAATCTTTATTTACAGTATGAAATTTTAGTTTCGAAATTGTAAGTACTTTTGAATCGTCTAAACTATGAAAACATAGTATAAAGACGCATTCCCGGAATAACTATTTAGGCCTGGCCTGTACTTAAAATCAAGTAATACATTAATAAAGAAAGATATGCCTTGTAATTTTGCACAATAACTTTTTTTGAAATAAATATTGTAGTAAAATGATTTTAATTTATTAAAATCTTTGTCGGAAGCATAATGCTCACCTCTCTGATGTTGATCCTTATAACCCGTACCAACTTACTTAACATCTGAAAATTCGGAAAATTTGTAATCGTTTATATAATTTTATTAAAATCACATAGTTTACAAAGATATCCTTGAAAATTATGTGATACCGTGTCAGATTCTAACTCCGATGCGTTATGAATTATCAAAAAAAGTGCCTTTGGAATCGTATTAGAATTCTGACATTAGACGAAATTTCGTTTCCGGAGTCATAGTACCAAATATAAACTTTTATATACTTTTAAATTTCTAAATAACACTGTTTCTTTTATTAAAATATATCGAATACTTAATTTTTTCTATCTTGTGTATAAAATATTATTATTTTCGACCTTAAAAACAAATATTACATTTTCTCCTTAGGAACACCACCGACAATAGTCCAACCTCCCAGTGGTGGATATTGGGTAGACGGGGTGGATGACGCGCAGGATGGCGAAGAATCTGATCCCAGAGCCCAACCTGGCACCCCCAAGCAATCGTCACGGCGGCACAACATCGACACAGACGACACCGCTAAATATTATAGGCGGTTCTTCCTTGGAAAGGTAAGCTCCTTAGTATTCAGAATTTCCGTACTTTTACATAAGTATGTTTAACAATAACGTATGTCTTAGAACTGAAAACTTGTATGAAGTACCGGAGCCTTGTGGCGCTGGGTATCACCTACCCCGTAAAGGAAAACTATATATCCGAGTAGATTATCTAGGTATCAAAGGCAGAAACCAGGTCCTACTATTTTTTCATCATAAATGATCAAAAAAACAGTATAGAATGAGTTCTAAACGTTTCGAATTAAAACGAAAATTCGTTTTCGGGAAAACTGAGTAGACTCCATATCAAATTATAAATAGTAACCTTAAAAAAAACGCAAACGTTATAGGTCTATTCGTCTGTCCCAAATAATTTGCACTGAAACAAATAATAGATGTGTTGAGTTGAAATAAGATAAGTAAAAGGCAAAGATGGCGCTGTAACTTACATTTAAGGAACCGTTATGTTGGTATTTATTTAACTATCTAAAAATTTTCAACTGTTTACCGTTGATTAATAGTTAATCTATTGTTATATATATAACAACTATTAATCTATTGTTATATATATAACAACTATTAATCTATCCGTTGTGCCGATACATCACTAGCAGTTGTTAATACAACCGGTACCAACAACGGTAAACAGTTGAAAATTTTTAGATAGTTAAATAAATACCAACATAACGGTTCCTTAAATGTAAGTTACAGCGCCATCTTTGCCTTTTACGTATCTTATTTCAACTCATCTTATTTCAATTCATATATATGTAACAACTATTAATCTATCCGTTGTGCCGATAAATCACTAGCAGTTGTTAATACAACCGGTACCAACGGCAAGGAAAATTGTGCACATTACCAACGGTTTTTAAACGAGGTCATAGATTCTCGGTCGGTCATCTGATGGCCGGCCTTTGCGAATGTTATTTGACCTCTAAAATCGTAAGTCTAACAAACTTACCATAACACCTTTGAACGTTGAACCGAAAATATTATAACATGTATTAATTGCACGTTACATTTCACATAGTGATAGGCGGAATCTATTTATTTGGTTTATTTGGATAAAATAATTTGGTATATATATAGAGTGAAATGTGAGCGTAGAATAAATATTTTTATGTTATAAAATGATTTGCTATAAAATTATAAGCAGCAAGCTTTATTCAACATTTTAAAATCCGAATAGTTTCACACCTAAACAATTCGAAAATGCATGGAAAATTATTTAAATAAATAAATAGCCTTGACCCATATTTAAATGCGATAAAACTCCGGAACGTTTTAGGGTTACAATCATTATAAAAACAGGGCGTACGCCTTGACATTTAGTGCGCCATACTGTCTGTAAGAAATAAAACTGATTTCGTTGCCAACCGTCGTCGTTGCCAAACAAGATTACCCGGAAAATGATCTGGAGTAGTACACGCTTTTACGTAAAGCTTCTTTTTTTTGCTAGTAGCAAAAACAAACAAAAACACACTTATCTATATCATCGTCAACTAATGTTCACACTGTTCGGAGAAAGCACTTCTTAAGCATATAATTATATGGGACTAGCTTTTGCCTGCGACTTCGTATAGTTACTTTGGGCATTATTTCCAATAACGTTAAATTTTAATATTTTAAAGAAAAATTTATTCAGTATAGTAAAAGGTAAACTATCTCCTATAATTCAGGCCAACTGGACTTAGTTAGTGAGAGCATAACAGACATATATACAGACTTACTTTCGCATGTATAATATTAGGAATAATTAAATGTTGCTCCTTGTCGCTCATAACATGATATAATAAGAGATTAACAGACACTTAAACTAATAAATAGACTGAAATATAAATCACAATTGATATATATCACAATTCACGACTCAGCTGTTTATATTTCGAGTTTAATTGAAAAGATTTTGTGTGAATTAATGACAAAACATTGAGGTTGATTTATAATGTCGTAGCTAATTGGATAAAACATCCAATTAGTCATTCAATTAGGTGCCTAGCCCTGTAATAGAATGGCGTCATTCATTTGCAACGAATAGCATTGAGCTTTAGTAACCATCACACCGTCCGTATATATTGCGAGTGTAGGAAGTTCAGGGAACTGGTTAACTAGGATCGCGATACGAAACACAGTTATTGATTTTATCGATAGCAAAATTTCTGCGATATTAGAATTAAATTTACTTGATGTTCATCTTCGAAAACGGTACAAACAAAGAGTTATATTTATTTATTTAAGGTATAGCAACAGCTATACATGTAATTACTTTTTTTAATATGAGAATTATTATACAGGTATAACATGATAGCCAATAACTGGTTCACACAACATTGTTAAGACAGAACAGGAAAAATTTAAATATTATTTAAGATACATCGTGGGCTTTAAGCCATAGGGGTATAAACAATACCAATACTTTTCAGGAGACATGAAAATAATAGTTGTTTCTCGGTTCACGGCGAAAAGTGTTTTACTTGTACGTTTTAAGTACTTTACCGATTATGTATTATTAAAAAAAAATGATATTGTCAATTGATAAGATTAGAAAATATTAACGTTATAAAAAAATCTCTTTATACAAATACGCCCATTTGGCTTGAAACACTTTGATTCTTCATAAAAATGTCCATTCCCGTTTTTATCTCTTTAAATACTGGTTTTCGGAAGAAAACTCAAATACCAAATTTTATTTATAGAGGTCCAAAAACAGGGAAGTTTCATACAAACGTTTTCTACCATATTAACCTCCTTCGGGTGGAACTTCCAAAAATCCGTTCTTAATACGAGGTGTACAACGTTATAAAATGAATGTCCCCTCCAAATTTTAAGTTTCTACTACCAGCGGTTTAGGCTGTGAGTTGTCTGTCAGTCAATATATCAAGTACATATATTTTATATGTGTATAGATTATGTGCTATAATGTAGCACGTGGACCCAACGCGGATTAGTGAATAGGTATCCAAATGATATTAAGGACTTTGATAAACATTAAAAGCGATTTGGATGTTTTTTGTTAGTTTAATACGATATATCTGTTGTTAGTTGTCGAGGAGTTAGGTACTCTGCAGACTGTCCTGACTGCAGCATCAGGTAAAGCACCATTTTATTATCGTATTATATAATTTGCTGTATGTATCTAGTTTCAACTCAATCTGTGCAGTAGAAGTGAACTAGAATCGATTACCTCTATATAATGTTGCACATATTTTTATAAAACATAGCTATGAACACTCTCGATTAAGTCATCTTTCTAACTAAAAAAAAATATCCAAATCGTTTCACCAGTATAGGAGCTATGATGCCACAGAAAGAATGATAAACACACGCAAACACATACATACACAAGCAACGTCAGACGTATAATATCCCTCTTTTTGCATAGGGGTTAAAAGACGTACAGCCTGTATAAGCCTCTGTACATATAATTTGTCATTGTTTGCTATTATATAATATTAAAAAAAAATACGTTTAAAATAGTTTAAGTGAGGTTTGGGAATTCCTTAATTTTAAATTCTCAATTCAGAGACCGGGTGTAAGTAATTTTTTATTCTAACAATACACTCCGCACTACATATTTCAATGGTATTTATATTATTTGACTTACCTATGTTTTTTTATTATTATTTTAATAGTACAGGCTTTAAAACTAAATTACTTATATATTTTAATGTGTCATTCATTTAGCTGCGCACGCTTCCCTTGACATTAATTTTTATTCCTGTTCAAGTTGATGGCCTTTTTTTACTTTTTCACCTTCCGATGATAATCATATCATATTGAAACCTGTTTACTATTTAATAATTATTATAAAATTACACAGTTTACTTTTCTCATTATTAATCAATTGATTTATAAGAGTATTTCATTAGGAAACAAAATGAAACATATTCTGTAGCAATCCAGAATTAAATACAAGGTAGCGTAATAAAATTCAGATACTTGAAAAGTATCTAATAATCTTTTAAGTAGGTATATGTATATTTATAATATAACTTTTCGGTATTTTCTTTCACTTACTTTTCGTTCATTGAATCCCTTCGATTTAGTAACTACAAAATAAAACTCTTTTTTGATTTCAACAATGTCCTGAATCATGTGAAGCTTCTCGCTCGCTCCTTTAATATGATGTCTTCTCGAACCATTGGTACAGTTACAAACACGTGTGAATTTTCCCATACCCACGCCGAATGTACATACTTTTTCTACTTTTTTCGTGTCGTCTCGAATCTAATAAAACGTGCTTTATTTATTTATCGTTCCATAAATCTTTTATGATGGGCTTTGTTTCGACATTGACAATGGTTAAGTGAGATTAACTTTCATTGTTTGATATATATTAAACAATGAAAGCCATACACCAATATCAATCAGCACTTTTTGTCGTATTTAACATATAGACATCTTCGTTATGAATTCCTCCATGTATCAATGATAATCTTTCGTAGTCTTCGGCAAAGATGTTACACAAGGATTACTAAAATACTGCAATTAAAACTCTTTTCATTTTTTTCAACTATGTATAACAACACTATTCATTTTAATTAACATCATCCATCATTAGGTTAACTTTAGTAAAATTTCATAATATTCATAAATAAAATTTATTTTTTTAATTCGAAAAGCCTGGTTTTTATGCCCAATTAAAACGTCGCAACCGTGCTTGTAAAGGTCCCAACTTGCTTGTTATTTATTATTTAAAAAAACCTGCAAATGATAGTGGGAAAACGTTACGAGCTTACAACGCGGAACGGTCTGGCTTCACGCCCAGTGAGCGTTCTCAGATTGTGACTTGATTGAGCATAGTGAGCTAGCTCGAGACTAGTGGTGTACCGAAAGATCGAAATCGTATAAAATTATGTACGATTTGTAGCGGAACTAATTTAAAGATACATCTTTAAGAATATTCATAACAGTCACCGTTTAGGTGTCAAGAAACTGATATACATATGTTACGCTGAGAACAAGAATAGAATACAATACCTCGCTTACGAATAGTAGTCTGATATCGCTTT